AAAGCATTGTATGACTTAGTTGAGTCTGATCTTCCAGTTGGGCCTAAACTGTCTAAGTTAAATAACTTGATGATGTTCTTCTTGAGAGTTCGTCTTAGCTATGGCATTGAGGATCTTGCTTTTCGATTTGGTGTCAGTAAAGGCCAAGTGTCAAAGCATTTTCATAATGTTTTGGACATAGTTTATGTCAAAACAAAACCACTTATTAAGTGGCCAGATCGAGATGTTTTAAGGTTAACCATGCCTACTTCATTTCGTAAATTTTTTAAAAAGTGTGCTGTTATCATTGACTGCTCTGAAGTATTTGTTGAACGACCAAGTGACTTGATGGCAAGAGCACAAGTTTGGAGTAATTATAAGCATCATTCGACGATAAAATTTTTGATTGGTATAACTCCACAGGGTACCATTTCCTATATTTCTAAATGCGCAGGTGGCCGAATTTCTGACAAGGAGATAGTTGAGCAGTCAAGCCTTGTCAACTATCTGCTACCAGGTACATTAGTTCATTGCAAATGAATGATGAAGCAGAAACTGCTATGCAATCAGTTGTATTTATTTCAATTTAATTTTTATAGGTGACGTTATATTGGCTGATCGTGGGTTTACCTGCCAAGATCACGTAGGTATGTATATGGCCGAAATCAAAATGCCCCCTTTTACTAAGGGTAAAAAGCAATTAGAGAAATATGATGTTGACTGGAGTAGGGAATTGTCTCTTGTGCGTGTGAATGTTGAACGAGTGATTGGTGTACTAAAGCAAAAGTACACCATTCTGCAGAATATATTGCCTGTTCAGTATTGTGAGGCAAGCACATGTGGTGATACTAATGTGACAGTTATTGACAAAATAGTTCATGCATGTTGTGCTTTAGTTAATTTGTGTCCTTCCATTGTATCCCAAGACTAAAATGATTTTTCTTAAATTTATGGTATGTACTGTATATGATATAGTTAATAATAATAATGTAATTATTGATTAATAAGAGATTGGATCTGAGTTTGTTTGCTGGGTTTGGCTATTATTTTTTAGAGATGGGTAGCTTCCTACAGCTGGGACACTTCCAAATGCCTTTTGGGACTTTACGTATCCTTAAGCAATCGCAATGAAACCATTTGATGTGACATGATTTATTGTCACAAAGTATCATTTCTCCATAACTTGGCTGATTGCAGTAGCACCAAACTTTATCGTAGTCTTCATTGTCTTCGTTGTCTTCATGAGGAAGTGGATCAGGAGCTACTAATGCATTGCTTGAATTTGCAGCTGGCTTCCTTGAGTACCACTTTCCCACTATTTCAGGAAGTACTCCATAGACAAACAGATGTTGCAGGTCGTCGATAATATTATAAAAAAATCAGTATTTCTGTACACACGATCTATTAGTGTTCCATCTGATTCTGACCATACTATGAAATCACAGTATCCAAGATTGCATGCATGCATCTGAGTTTGGACTTGATAGTAATATGGATGCTCCCGCTTCAAAGTCCAGTTTCCATCATTCCCTTTTTCCATGCAAAAAGAACGGTTGTTGTCTTCAGGAAATGATTCTTTGACAGAATGAGGACACTTCACTTCAAGAACTCCTTTACCACAGCATGAACAGCTTACTATGCCATCAGGAGAAGCACCAATATATGGATGGCAAAGATCAATGAAGAAACCATTATCTTTAATTGTTAAATCAATATGGTTTTCATTGGCAACAGATTCATACGTGGAGAGGGCCTCCTTTTCATGATCACAGCCCCATCTACAAATGTTTAATATCAAAATAATGATATTGTGTCCATTAATTGTATATACCTAGTAGATTTTGTAGAAAATGAGAACAACTCTGGGTAACATATCCTCTTAATTAGGCTCTGAGATGGTGAAGCATGGTTTGTCTTTACTGCATTTCTGATTAATGAAGCTGTCAGTCGGCCTGAACGGAATACAAACCATGACTTTTTAGAAGATTGACCCCTTGTCTCCAATTCCACTAGAGCTGCTTCAGCTTCCGTAATCTATAAAGTTTCACAGATAGAAAATCATTCATATCTTTATTGTGCATACCTTAAGCTCTTGAAAAACTTTATCACATTCAGACAATAGCTCAATATAATCAGAATCCAACATCTTAGGGTTGTATAGCTCTGTAATGGGTGATGGAAATCGGGTGTCAGAAAGTCTGGGAATGAATTCTTCAGCATAAGGCATTGTTATTTTAAGAATAGCTGGCCTTTCCTTTCCTTTACTTATTTTTTGTAAAAAGGAATCCATTTCATTTTCTGATGGAGGCACTCTAACTGCTGTTAGTCTATGATGTTTTGATGATGGGCTACCTGTTGTATCATTAATTCTTGCTGTTTTTCTGAACTTTATTTCACTAATGTTAGCTGTAGTAACCTATATGTTGTATAATATAGAACATTGACTTGTTTCTTTTTACTTTGGTTGGAGTTGGTAGCCAGTAGCAGGCCCTAGAAGTACATGAATTTAATCCTGTTTGCTTCTGACAATCTGCCGCCTTCACTACAGTTGTTAAAAGTGCTGCACATGTGAGCATGATTCACCTAATCTATAAATTTGTTTATGTACATAAATAATATTATACAATGTACATACCCTGCCATGCAAGTGCAGTGTGCAGCAGCAACTGAACCATCTTCTTCAATGACTACCCATGGCAACAATGGTGTACAGGAGCTTCGTTGAGAGTGATTAACCTGCAAACATGTAATTGTAATACAAAAACTCATATGCATTGAAAAAATCTACCTTTGCTTTTATTACAAACTTCCTCAAATTATTGACATCAAAACTGTGCAGTAACAAATCATGAACCCATCCAGCAGTAACAAACCCTTCTGAATCCAGCATTCCTTTTCATGCCTTATTAATTTTATCATTAATTTCATTATGCTACATCATTTATACCTTTAATGCTTCTCCTGTATATGGACTTGGAGTAGATATCATGTACACTGTTACATCACTCCATGATATGGCTGGCAGTAATTCTGGGCTTTTTTCCCATTCAGAATTTTTTATTGAATAAGGATCCACCTTAAGACCAGTTTTGGACACCTTTTCCTTATAGCGTACCTTGCTACTGAGCTTAGTTGCTGTAAGTATCCACTCTACATAGTCTTGCTCACAAACACACCTGCATACACATGGCTTTGCTCGCGCGCATAGGCCTTTTTGCCAACCAAGATGGCCGACACGAGGCTCCAACCCTCAATTAACACCCACGGGGAAACATCTCTATTTGTCTTATAGACCTCTTTAGGCGAGAATTAGTTTGTGATACCGTATATACAAAGAAATAATATTAAACAGATTTTTGTCCGCCATGTTTTACGTCAAAGTTATGCAGAGTTCCAATGGCTGATGTGCAAAGTAGAGCTGTTTTGCCAATAAAACTTTTGTTGTACTGAACTCAGGACTATGAGAAGCTTTATATCAACTGTTCTTTACTATAGCAAGATATTTTGAAGACTTAAGAAGTCTGGGAGAGCCAGAACGATCAGTTCTTGACTCTCTGTCACAGCCCAAAGAGGAAAGCAGGCTCATACAACAAGAGTATTGCACTATACTTCCTAGGTTGGCTCTCTTGGCATTATTTTTGACTCTAGAATAGTTTTTAGCTTCAAATTGTAGTGACCAAGATCTCCAGGACACAGAAAGCACTTGCTGCTTGATGTAAAACATG